TTTCAGAGTCGTTCCTCCGTAATTTCCTTAGCACAGGCGAGGTCTTGCGCTTGGTTATACGTAGTGCATGTATGCAGTACAAATACACCCGAAACAATTCATTAAAATGGCGCATGAGGCGCAACCATGGCATTCTGGTAAAGAGAAACAGAAGAGGAACAAATTGCCTTTGAGGCGAGAATAAAATGCAAGTTAAGGCGATTATGAGAATTGGCAAATGGGGTTTAAAACAAGAGATTTTAATTGTGATCCTCTGACTGTCGGCTGATATACTGCTTCCATGGGTGATTGGAATCCTTTACCCCGAATGAGTGTACGGAAAAATTAAGCCACTGCATGAGCAGTCCGGCTCCGAGATTTAATTTCTACTTATTAAGCTAAAGTAGCAACTTATGTGTATGTTCAATAGGTGCTCACAACTGCTTTAGTTTGAGATACGATCACCCATCTAAGTCAATGAATTCAACATTCTGGCCCGTATTAATCCTAAAACAGCGCTTAAATGTGCCAAAAGGACAGGCGTTCTCTAAGTTGAGGAATTTATCAATAGAAAACTCAAATTATGCTGATTAGATGGACCAGTCATCGAAGTAAGAATGAGCGGGAAGTTCAGTGGGTTGCAGGAATCATTACGACGACGCGACACTGCCTTGCATTGCCTGACGACAACGCGACGCCGTCAAGACAATCTGCTCAATTAGCTTCTTTTTCCCCTCTTCCTCCTCCTCCTTCCCTTCCGCGCCTTCAGCGACCCTGGTTTTGTGCATCACCAAGTCCGTCACACGAGACAACTGCTGGCCAGCCTTCGAGGCATGGAGCTCCTTCACCGCGGCAGGGTACGACTTACAGTTGCTCGAGGGTGAGGCCAGCTTTTTGGCAATCCAAGCCGATAGCTGCGGCACCAGTTTGCCACACACCGGTAGAGGCCAGCCAGCCAGACAATGACCGAACAGGCCGGCCGCGGCTAGCGCCACAAGAGCCAGCGAGTTGGTGTCCGCCTCCGCTGCCGACGCCGCTGCAATCATCTGCTGCTCGGTTTGGGCGGCGAGGTCGAGGGCCAGCGCGCGATCCTGTCGCTTGCGTTTCGCCGCTCCGCCACGCAGAAGCGAGACAGACAAATTGACGCCCAGATGGCCAGCCGCGAGTTCGTCGCAGAGGTTGAAGACTTCGTCTAGCGGGAGACCTTCAACGGCCTCTGGCAGTTCTGGACTCGCACGGAGGCAGGCGTTCAAGTGCTGGAGAATGCCCGAGGCCTCCTTAGTGGGACCCGCTCCAAGGTTTGCAAGGAGATGGACCAAGGTGTCGCGTTGTTGCGCGGTTATTTCAACTGGTGTAAGGTCATTGGGCGATTTACTGGATGCCTCTTCCACCTCGCGCTGAATGTGCTTATTCTTCCTGTTCTTTGAAGATGTGTTGCTCTGGACGGCAGACGGCCAGTCAACATCGTAATTCTGAGCCAGGAACACGCAGAGCCGATTGACGAAGGTGGAGACATCACCGCGAATGAGCTGACGGAGCAATTGACTTCGCAGACTTGGATCGTCCACAGCTAACGCTCCACGTTCAAAGAGCTTTAGTACAAAAGAAGGAAGAAAAACACTTTCTACACTTCTAAACTTTCAAGCACAACGTTCTGGGACAAATATTTCACCCTCTTACCTGTATGGACAAAATTGCCGAAACGAGTGATTCCTTCTCAGCAAGAAATCGGTCACGGTTCCTTGAGGCGCCTGACGTCTGCAGCAAAACCGATTTGCAGAGTCCGGAAAATTTGTCGTAAATTTCCGGCAAGAGTTTATCGATAATACCATCAACTAGTTCCTCGGGAGCGTCCGCAGCAATACGAGATGTGAGTATTGAAAAGAGTTCTTCGCGGGGCAAATAGGAATCACAGGCTAGGGTAGAGGCTTCCTCATTGTCCGAGTCACTTTCCACAGCCTTTTTGAGGTACTTCTTTTTGACATTTTTGGTTTTCACTTCACGCGCGCGGCCACCAAATCCGCCGGATTTCCCCTTCCTTTCTGTGACCCTTGAATGGCCGTCGTCAGGAAGCGTCACGTTGACCTCCGCGGATTTTGAGGCAGCCTTCTGCTTTTGATCAGTCGCAGCTACAACTGCCCGCTCCCGAATAAAGTCTTCGAAAAACGACACATACTCCAAAAGGCTGTCCTTATGACAAAGGAACCTGTACTCGTGTATGGGGACAAATGGGGTGTTCTTCAGAAGCGGCCCAATCAGCCATTCGCGCTCCTGCGCACCAAACGCTTGTGGAAGGTAGTGGAAAACATCAACCCACTGGTTCTCTGAAGCGCCGTCTGCCAAGAGTTCCTTGATTTGTGAAACTGTGGATTCACATATAGTGAATTCTTTTGTGTGGATGGCAGAAGGAAAGTGCGAGCGAAGATATGAGGAGGGGTCAGGGATGCCGATGTGGCGGACAATATTCCATTCGATGTATCTGTTCTGTTTAAAGAAGGCCGTTACATAAGCATCCTGGGCACGACTGTAGCATAACGGTGTATAAATGTTCTTCCCACCGGCAATAAGTGATCCCTTGAGTTTGTTGCTTGAAATGAGGGCTTCAACAAGATTAATTAGAAGCTTCTGTGGAATATCCAACTTCATGCTACACGTCGAAATAGCAATCGGGGTTATGAGACCCGAGAAGTAACCAAGGGCCTTAGCTTTTTGTTTGGAAATAAACGAATCGGTGTAAAACTTATCTTCTTCTTTGTGAATATTAAAAAGAACACCATTGTAGTCGTTGATAATATCCATTATGAACTGCGGAGGGAAGTTATACATACGTGTAAGTTCCACAAAGCTCATAGATCCACGGAACTCCAAGCGATCCCGAATTTCTTCAGCAACACTTTTTACGAATGATTTTGTCATCAAATCACCCCCAACCAGTATGCAGGTTTCGTCAAAAAAATCGTTTGATTTCGATGCAACTAGCTCTTGTACACGAGACTCGATGAGAGAATACTCTACATCAAGATTTTTAGATATTTCTAGTATGGTAGTGTGGCCTCCGTGAGCTTCCAACTCCTCAAAAATTTCCTTGTTCAGCTCATTATTGGTCAGTAGGCTTCGGCCATTGATTGTCCGAAACAGCTGCAGACGGCCGGAATTAATAAGATAGGTAACAATGTCAACACAAGCGTGATGACTTAGAATATTGGCGCTCTCAGCTGATTGAACGCTTTTTAGCTTCTCAGCCAAATCCCTAATCTCTGACCAACCCGACATCAGACAATTTACAACGAACGCAGGGTTTGATATACCGGGAGTATGAGCGATATTTTAAACACATAAGTCTTATGTAACTGAGTATCAAAAGAAAAGGACCAAAAACCCCTCATATTTTTTATTAATGTATTCAGATATCACTTAAGTCCTACAACCCTGCTTTATGTCGATCAAATATAAAAATCTGCATTACTGTTCATTCTAAATTTTATTGGAATATGTAGAAAAATTAATTACAGAGGCTGTGCAATTTTTTGTCTGCATAACCTTTAAGCCGGCAAGCCATGACTCATAAGACATCAGCTTTCCAAATGATCTCGTTATATCTTTTAACACTCAAATCTTATCATTCGTCGCTTTGCATCATGAATGAGGGATTCACACAATTGTTTGACAGTTAGCATCGAAATCAATCTATGATTAAGCTTTATTTCCATTTATATCTGTCTTTTCAGTGTCCTCAAGATTAGCATAAATTCTCCAAATCACACCTAAATTTCGCAGCATTAAAATCGGACTCTATTTCTTGAGAATTTTTTTGTATTTTCACCATTAGTTAATCATCCAATTAAACAGAATTTCCAGATTATCATTAGTTAAATTAGACTTGGTGTTCAATTTTTGATCCAAAAATTTCTTGAACTATTTCAATTTTTAAAATACATTACGTTTTCAAAAGGGCTATCCTAAGAAGAGAGATATAATCTATTTTAGATTTCTATTTGTTTACGTTTCATGTAATGCTGCAAGTGTTTGCATATATTAAGCTTGAGGCAAATTCTATTTCGTAAATAAGTGAAAAAAAATAATATAGTGTATAAATTTACTGATGAATTTGCTAAGAAAGGCCCAAAAGGTGGCCTTATATACAAGCCAATTCTTTTTTCCTAAAAGGTATGTATTTGTAGCAAAGAGCATAAACGTGGTTAGTTTAAGATCAAATTCGAAATTATCGCACACTTGCATTTAACCACATTATCTTATCGGATTTCTGCAGTTCATTTGTGATTTCTACCAATATCTATCTTCTTTATTTTTCCCCTTTTACGATTTTTACATGAAGCGTTTGAACCCCACCACCAAAAAGAGTAATTTTTTTATATCCCTAAAACAAAATATTATACCGCATAAGGCCGCAAATTTATTTGCTTATTACAACAAAACACATCAAAGCGATTGCGAAAAATGGGTATTAATGTAAGTGACAGGGAATTAGATCCCTGTGGCTCGGAAATATATGCCACAAGCACGTGTAATTAGTCCAATTTACTTATTAAATATACCTAAATATTCAGCTAAATCAGGACCAATTTTTACTGCTTACAAATGGATTATGAAAACACAAAGATGCGCCTTTCATCCTTCATCGAGCTGAACATTTTGTTTCTTTTTTCGAAAATTTTTAGGCGAAATTTTTAGTTTACTAGGTTTTGGTGCAGGTGCTGTCCTTTTTTAGACAAGTAGAGATTTTAATAAGCAGCTGTGCTATTTTCCGATTATTTGCATCACACCGACTGCCTAGTGAATATTAATTTTTATAGACTTTCATTCAACTTCTAAACCATGACTAATCAAAGTGGCCTCACCTTTAAATTCTAGACAGCGTGATTTCGAATGCAGTTGCTGTTACTTGCAAATATATTTTTGGGGATCCAGGATTTCCATAAGATGGTTCAATGCTGGTTTTTGTCTTTGTTTACTTTAATTCCCAAAATCATGCTGCATCGGTGAGTGAGTCACCAAACGCATCCTACTGACAACCGCAACCGTGTTAATCTACTTTCATCCATCAGGTCAAGGTTACATTTGACTTATATGTGTTGGCATTCTGACAGATCACGTTCATTTTGCCTGAAGTGATTAACGCTCTCTGAATGAGCTCTGGCCTTGTTCTTGCATTAGCGTTGGATAGGTCGGTTCAAGCGTCAACATGCAATCCAGTACCGTTACCTGAGTGGTTTTCCTGGTTGGGGGTAAACGTTGAGTATATGCTGTCTACTATTGCTACATGGTGCACTGACAGCTACAAAAAATAATAACGGCTGTGTTTAACACGGGCTATGGGGACTTGTAAATTCAAAAAGCAGATAAATAACATAAGGTATTCTCTATCTTGCAACCGTTAGATTGACTAATTGATCGAACAACATTTTTTAGCCCTCGTTTTCAGCAAACTGATTTAAATAGGGCACAAAGAAATAGGGATAATCATTGTAATGCAACGATGTGGATGCAGCGACGACAAAGCAATCTGTTACCTATTCTATTATATAAAAAAGGAAAGTCAATTAAATCGGATTAATTTTTATGATTAATCGCTCCTACTTCACGTATTTTTATAGACAATAATATTTTCACATTAAGTTGAAAGCTAATAACTCAGCTCTTTCTAATAGCAAGTTAATTATTTTCTCCTTAGCCTTTTGTTTATATAAGCCGTTTATTTAAAATGAACAGACATTTTAGCTGGTCATCCCTTTCCTCTTGTGCCCACAAATTTAAATTCAGTTTGAATACAATAATGGTCTTACTTGACCTATTAATTGATTATTCGGCCGATTGTATTTGGATTGGTACGATTGTAGTTTCTTTTTGTTAAATCATCAACATTTTGGGATAAAGTGTCTAATTTTTCTGCGTCACTGTTTTTGCTTGGGTAAACGGACCAAAGCTGTCTATTTAAAAACCAAATTGCAGCTTGACATTCCAAAACTTACAAATCGTAAATATTGTTTATAAACGTACAATAGTTTGATGACCGACATGACTCGTTCAGTTATTTAATAGGTCCAGTAATGCAAAAAGCGTGCGACTAATATACTGGTTTATTTTTAACCAAATTGCCATAAAAATATCAATTTTAGAATTACAGATATCAAAGATGATGCGAGCACTCTCTTTATCACAGGAGATCATGAGAATAGCAAAAATAATGACCTGCAATATTTATTGCATTTTTGGTAAGAGGACATTCAGCAGTACTTTCACTGCACGCCATATTGGATAGACCAGAAGCGCGTTGCATAGTGCTGATATTGAAATCCTATTTTAATTTTGAAATTGAACTTTTTTATTATTATCCGTCTTAAACGTCCATTTGAAAATTTAGCTGTCTCCTGTAGTGCCACATAAGGAAGCAAATATATCGGTTTGCATCGACTATAGCTAATCCTCTATCTCTGTTGGTTAGATTGGCCAACCAGAGACAATGTTGGAACCTAAGATGTATGTATCGGGTGTCGGAAGTAATTTAGGCAATTTGAATTAGCGACATCTAACAGGCGATTCAGGTTGCAGTTAACCAAATTTCGTAAGCTGCTGTGCCAGTCAACTACTAGAAATTGCTGAGGTATCTCCTAAACTCATTCAGTTTCATAGAAGGGAATATTTTCTTGTCCACTGTCTTAAGAAACTTAACCTTTTGTTTAAAAAAGAGGCTAGTTCTTTTTTAGAATATCTAAAGTCATGGTTTTTTACTGCCATGTTTAGCATAACATCAACCACAACACTACTGCACTCACAAGTTTTAAACTCTTCCTGAATGTTAAACTACGGTGTCATTAGCTGTTTTTTTAATGCAGGTTTGTATTCACAGCATTAAATTCACATTTTTAACGTAATATAGCAATATAAACAGCATGGTGCAAGATCATTCTAAAGTACGATTATTTGTTTTAATTTGTGCTATCGGGCTGTTATCCAGTGCCTGTTCTGCGGGACTTCTACAGCGCTCGTTTTAAAAATGACGCACGCGAATACGTCCAAAGCTGCTCCAAAGAAAAATCAAGAATTTTCTGATAGGAGCAAGCCTCAAGCTATCCGCGAAAGCAATATCATCGCTGCTAAAGGTATAGCGCATTTTTCCAACCTTTATTTGTAGCTGTTGCTGATGCCATTCGCACAAGTCTCGGGCCCAGAGGAATGGATAAAATGGTAAGTCCTGCGCTTTTGTATGGTCACCTCACACTGGAGTAGTTTGTGTTATTGTCAGCTCGCCGTTACTGCACACATTTTTGAATTTAGCAAATAATTTTGCAGATAGTAGTAGACACCCTCAAAAGTACCGAATGTCATTATGTAATGTTGCATTTGGTTATTTTTGAACATTTAACCATTTAAGTATGAGCATTTTAAGGTAGTTTTTTTAGCGAAATGGGTGTTTTTGAGTTGATTTTGTGAATTATTCCGTTTGTGCTAAGCGATTGCGTACCTTCAATGCTTTCGTGCTTCGTCGGCTAAGCCTCCTTTTGCTGCTAGTTTCTTGTAAATTTTCAGGATTTTCGTGCATCTGTTAGTTCCAATTTTGGCTCATAAACTCAAGTCATTATGTCCTTTGCCCTCTTTTATAGATTTTGGAGCACAAGGGTGATGTCACGATCACCAATGACGGTGCAACCATTCTCAAGCAGATGAAGCTGCTACATCCAGCTGCAAAAATGGTACCTTTGTTTTCCAATGACACTTATTCTTAGCTTGTGGAACTTTCCAAGGCTCAAGACATTGAGGCTGGTGACGGCACAACCTCAGTTGTTGTCTTAGCTGGCAGTCTTCTCGATGCGAGTGCCAAGCTGTTAAACAAAGGCCTCCATCCAACTATTATTTCGGAAGCCTTCCAGTTAGCAGCCACAAAGGCGTGCGAGATCATTGCGGAAATGTCCCGCCCTATTGATCTCGCCGACAAGGATTCGCTACTGAAAATCGCCTCAACCTCGCTTAACTCCAAGGTGGTGTCGCAGTACTCAAGTATACTTTCTCCCATCGCTGTGGACTCGGTTCTGTCTGTCACTGATTCGAATAACCCTGAATCCATCAGTCTTAAAGATATAAGAATCGTGAAGAAACTTGGGCAAGTTTTTTGATAAGCTTATGCGTTATTATCCTCTAAGAAAGGCTTAATAGACTAGGGTACTGAGTAGCCGTAATTTTGGTCATACCTTGTAATTTCTTTTTGTTTTAACTAGTGGGACCGTGGAGGACGCTCAGCTCATCGATGGTCTCTTGTTAAACCAAAAGGTTGAACCGGGTTGTGGTGTTCGCCGAGTTGAAAAGGCTAAAATTGCCCTGGTCCAATTTTGCATTTCCCCACCGAAAACCGACATGGAGAACAACGTGGTTGTGACTGACTACACGCAGATGGATCGTATCATGAAGGAGGAGCGTCAGTACATCCTCAACATCGTTAAAGCCGTCAAGAAGTCGGGCGCTAATGTGATTCTCGTGCAGAAGAGTATCCTCCGTGACGCAGTCAATGATCTTGCTCTGCACTATTTCGGCAAGCTAAAGATTATGGTGGTGAAGGATATTGAGCGTGACGAGGTGGAGTTCATCTGCAAGACTCTTAAATGTGTTCCGGCCGCGAGTGTGGATCACCTCACGCCCGAGATACTCGGCAAAGCCGACCTTGTCGAGGAGATCGAAAGCGGTGGTTCAAAGATTGTCAAGGTCTCTGGCATTCAGAACCGAGGTCGCACTGTCTCTGTTCTCCTTCGCGGCTCTAACAAACTTGTCCTCGAAGAAGCCGACAGGTCCCTCCACGACGCGCTCTGTGTCATTCGCTGTCTTGTAAAACGTCGGTAAGTACTCATAATGGCTTCAGTTCGCTCCCTACCACTCCGCATCTGTACTCTTTCTTCTCAACGTTGAATGGAACCCTTTCACTTCTAGAGCTCTCATCGCCGGGGGTGGTGCACCGGAGATCGAAATATCTCAGAAGTTGGCTCTCTTGGCCAACCAGATAACAGGCCTGGAGCAGTACTGTGTGCGAGCTTTCGCCGACGCCATGGAGGTGATACCCTACACGCTTGCCGAGAACGCCGGTCTCAATCCCATCCAGACGGTCACTGAGCTCAGAGCGCGCCACGCCCAGGGCGAGATCAACTGTGGCATCAATGTTCGCAAGGTGCGTCCCTGACGCCTAACTACGCTCCCCCACTCGACATTTGCTTTATGCGTAAACGCTTTGTGTTTCAGGGCTTCGTCAGCGACATGATCGCTGAGAATGTGCTTCAGCCGCTTCAAGTGACTCATAGTGCCATCACCCTGGCAACGGAGACTGTCCGCAGCATTTTGAAGATCGATGACGTGGTGAGTAATGTGGATTATTCTCTTTCAACCTCTTCCACGCACCATAAGTTCTGGTTGTAAAAATCGAAGATTCATGAGCGCATCGTTAAGCGTCTGTGTATGTTTGTTTCCCCTTAAGACTGGAATGTAATTCAGGTTGGTCCGCAGTTTGACTAGTTAGTTTTGTTTGCGTTCCGGCGTTTGTTGGGTTATTTAACTGGACTCCGCCATGTTGCTATTCTTGTGTTTCTTTTTAGGTCAACGCCGTTCGTTCCTAAGGTGTCCTTGATCTTCCCACGTTATTCTTTGTTTGCGCCATTGGCGTTTTTAAATAAACTTGCAATTTCGAGCGTCTGATTTTCGCTTTCTTTCGCCTACTCGCATCCAGGGGCTTTTCATGTCGTCAGAGCTTTCTCTGCCGGTTGTTGCTTGAGTTGCCGCCATCACGTGTTGCGATTAGTTCTTTCTACTTCATTTTATGAAGTAGTAATGTGATGTGCTCCGAAGATAATCGTTTCATCGGACGCCGCTGGAGAGGTAAACATTAGCTCGATCAAATTGATTCGACCAGAACTAAAGCCTGTCAAGTTACTCTGCTCCAACAAATCGATTTGCTGGCTTTGTTTCTAGTCCCAGTGACCATGACTTGGTTTTTCCCTGTTGAGTACCCAATTTCCCGATCAATTTGTGACCCACGATGACACGGACGCGGCTGTGTAGCGTTGTGCCTGCGCCGTTCGCCAATTCGTCTCATGCGTGGAGTTTGGTTGGCGCAAAAGCTTAGTGTCCCATCTGGTAAGCGTAAAAAACAGACCAGTTGCTTATCGCAAGGACGTAACTCATTTACTTGTGAACCGCCCGTAGTTGGGCGGTGGTTTGCTCCAAATGGCGTGTCTGATCGAGACCGCATTCGCCGAAGGCAATGTGTTTCCGTGCGAAGTGGCTTCGTCTTCTGTTCGTTGGAGTGAGCTAAGTGATTAAGCTACACTTCGCCCTGCACATCTAACACCGAGCCTAGGCTTCGATCGACACCCAACGTAGCCCTCAGACACTGGACACTTTCAGGTGCCTGGTCAATCAAACAGTTAACAGATGATGATGATGATGATATTTTGCCCAGTTTCCATGGTGTCACATTCATCTACCACTACAAAGACGACTTCAAGAGCGTAAGATCGACGTCACTTTCGACGAATGACGGCGTTGCAAAGCAGTCATCACCACACACCAAATGTGTCATTTTTGTACCTAAGTCATCTACAGCTACAAATGTTAAGATTAGTGGCAACTTCTGTGTTTGCAAAGATGCATCTTAGTGAATAGTGATTGGGCGAAGGCTCACAGACCTGCTGCACTGACAGCGCAATGTCCTGCGGCTGGCCATACACAAGGCGGATCCGATTTAGTCTCCCGGTGCGTGGGTACTCACGCACTTGCGTGTACACACTTCTCCCATCAGCCCTAGCAACGCAGAAGTAGCATTTAGCATAATAACGCCTCCATTCATCACCACCTCCACCTCTTCCAGATCTCGTGCAAGCGCGTTTTGGCCCTTATATTGATCTGTCCCCAGCCCAATGCCTCTTTCTGCCTCCTCCTCCTCCTCTCGCTCGCTTGAGGGGCGTCACCCAAGCGCACACGCCCAAACAGCACGCCATATTGCGAGTTTCGGGTGAGGCAGGGGGCGGTGGTCGACTGCTGTGTGTGTGTGTGTGCGTTGATGACAGACAGAGACATGGCGAGCTAGAACGTGAACGCACGTGCGCACGTGTACGTGCGTGCGGACGCATGCCGTGATCGTGTGTACGCGAGCGCGAACGGACGCGGTCACGGAGTTGAGTTGGGGCGTTGCCCACTCTGTGTGTGTGTGTGTGTACTTGCGTGCTTGGATGGGACGCGCTGATCCCCGCCTCACATCGCAAACGATGTGCGCGTCGCTGTTGGTGGTTAAGTGGGGCGTGGGGTGGCAGACTGCGAGGTGAACGAGAAAAGCAAGCGAGGTTGTAATGAAGGTGGAGTGCGGGTGGGGGGTGGACAGGCATGTGTGGATGCCGTTATCATTAGAGGATACCATGACAACCCTGTTGTGACTTGACTCCCTGAGACACGCCCATTTGGCAAAATCGTCCTTGCTTTTGCAAAGAGTGGATCAGGCGCACCCATTCCCGCCTCACTTTGGCACTCCATTGGTAGGCATGCAGTTTCCTTACTTCGAAGTTTCCTGGTCAGATGGTGGCGTCACTACTTAAAGGAGTGCATTTTAACCGATGCAACCTATTAAGATAATTATTCAGATTCCACGCTTCGGTTGTTTCACAGGTGACCTCTAGCACAACCTGTCTGACAACGTAACTAGCCTACAAGATGGGCCACTTTCAAAAATATTGGTAATATCGATCCGGTTAAGTGGGATACCATCAGGTGCAGTCTCCCGTGCTTATTGCGTCCACTAGGTTACCAAACAAGCAACTAATCCCATTAGCTGTCTGCCCTGGCCTCGACAGTCAACATGTCTGCGCCTGTTGACTGTGTGACCTTGACCGCGGAAACTAGCTAAGAGAAACAATTGTAGAAGGAACTGAAGTGGGTTGAATGATCGCCTTTTGACGCGACACAACGATCTCTCCCTGTGAGTATTGCCAAGCTGGCTGGTTTATTCATAATTTAAGAGTTGTCCTTCGTGTTGGCAAAGCAGGCAAATTGGTGATTTCGCGCCTTATCTTGTCGCACTAGTCCAAACAACCTTTCGTGTTGATCTTGTTTTTGCTCGAGTCAAACCAACTCCGAGGCTGCTACCTGTCACTTTTTCTTGATTTCGAAAGTAGGCGAGAGAAGGCGAAAGCAGGAATTTGTCCGTCCTCAATCTTGCCCCGTCAAACTGCATTTGTTGCTCGCTAGATAGAGTGATTTGATATGCCACTCGCATTAAACCGATGTCATGCTCGATGTTATTCTGGCTTTCCTTCAAAATGTCTGCATTTTGGGGTTGATTCTCAGCCTATGGGGATGCTTTCTGTCGGAAAACCCGGTAAACATGCTCTTGTTGGAAATGCGGTTGTGTTTTTGTGTCCACAGACACGCCATATCAACAGTCATCGGAATTTGAGTGTCTCCAAGCATTGCGCTGGTATTTTCAGATCAACGAAAATTAAACGGTGCTACTACAACTGTGTGATTCACATATACCGATACATTGTCAAAATTAACCCGAAGTAAATAACTACAAACTGTCAACGAATACCTTCCTAGTACGAAGTGCCCCACATTTCCTTTTCAAATGCGCCAACAATGCTGGTTCTTGAAGTATCCCTGAAGTAAATGTGTGGAACTAAACACAAAGTCTCCCTGCTTTCGTGCTCATTTTCGATTCAGTGACCGATGTTTGGACAACTCCTTAAACTGTATTGTTGAGTCAGCGCCACTGTATCTGGCCTGTGTTTGTAGTGGTGCCTAGCATCCGTAAGCTGCAACAATCCAGTGACCCATTCACATCTAATGCGTGTCCACTTAGGCGCACTTCCACGTGCTACAATTTGCATGGCGATTTTGGTGTTTTATTCAGCGTTCCACGCGAAGCGATGCCGTCACCATTTCGAAGTAGACTTCCGAACTGTGGCAATGGAATCAGCCAAGCACAGCGCTTGAGCAGCTACCAGTAAGTTGTGGCACTTCTTTCAGTGCCAATATGCTGCTCCAGAGGCAAACCAATTCCGACATTTTACAGAGCTTCAAACAGAAATGCAGTGCTCTCTTGAAATCTCCGATACCTCCACACCGCCACATTTTGACCACGGGCTTCCGTGACTATCACCGGACCATCATACTTCCGGGAAGATTCGTTCTCTACTACGTGGCAACATTATTTAGGTGATCTAGTGCCTCTGCTTCCCCATCGCAGAAGATGCCGGACTGTTTCTCACTAACGAAGACATTCTCTTGCTTGAATTTCGTTCTTTTTATTGTACATCCTCGTTCTAAATCGATGAGACCAAATGTGGAGGCGAATACAATACAGCCTTCCATAATTACGCTGCTTATGAGTCTTTAGTCTAAAAACTGACTCTCCTTAACCAGGGCAACGATGAGTCATTTTCCTCTTCAATGATCCCACCCAAACCAGTCTCCTCGGTGTCCAGTGATTCACGCCAATTCACTGCCATTTATGGAAGACAGTTTCGCCAATGGCATGACGAGTTTATCTAAAAGACACGGCTCATCTGAATGTCTGTGGTCAGGTCAAATCCCACGTACTTCTTCTCCCATCATAATTTTCGCATCGTTAATATCTCTTTCAATGCGCGTGATAATTGCTGTGGACTTTGTTCAAACGAGGTCGTTGAAAGTCTTCTGTGGACATGCCCCCAGCCATGCAAATCAGTATTCTGATTGTTCCATTTACCTCCCATTCAACCTCTGACGGCAAAACTAAATTCCCCGCTTTAATGACTGCAAAACAGACTTGATTTGCCACCTCACTGCAGTAAAATTGATGTTAAAACTGGCCGGAAATTTCCTCGTGTCCACGAAAATACCTCCCGACTTCAAACATGCCCAGTCAGTTTATGTTGCAGTCAATACCTGGAGATCAGCATGTACTGTTTGGCAGTCGGTTAGCGTGAGTCAAATTAACCAATACGGTAATTGTCTGATTCACTTCCAACGCCTCTAAAATGTGACACAGTCAAAAGCACGTGGTTCGCAACCATTGGCTCATTTTCTTCGGTATCTGGAATCAAAACTTGTCATTTTACTGTCTCACTAGTGCCCCTAGTGAGACGGGATATCACAAATGTGGATTTTTAAAGTATGTTTTCAAGATATATTTGGAATTTGAACGTGAACGCAGCCTGGTACTTCGCCAAAACAAATTAAAGATGCTACAATGTGCCTCACTCCCTGCGGACCCAATCCCAACCAAGTCGAATTCGCGCCAACAACTGGAAAAGGCGTGTAGTTATTGTCTCCTGTTGGAAATCAATTCTGACCTGACCTGCTTGGGGGGAAATGTGTCCTCTACCTGTTAAAAATCGAGCTGAATTTGTGCCGAATCTGAGCTGCGTGTTTTGCTTTCCAGATAAAACACTGGACATTTGGTTCCAGTGTGAGCCCGTTCCCCAGTTTGTCTGTGGAATATATGACCGACTGCTAGTGCCTTAGTAGTGCATGGAAATCATGAGGTGAATGCCATGTCTTCGTCTAACGTCGATTATGTGGCAAAATGCATGTTTTGTAAGCATCATTTCTTAACTTGAATTTGTGTGACAGTTCAAAAAACGTTACTTACTCTCACCGTGCACCAGACGGTCCCGCAAATAGACCGTCACCTTTACTGCGGGGTACATGTCTTGACAGTTTTCACCAATCAATAGGTGGTTGTTGTGTTCCCATGTGGGAAACAGGCAGTCATGACACAGTGCATTAGGTGTTGCCTCAGTCATTCGACATCTCCTGTGCATCGATTTGAAGTAACGGGGCCCTGGGCTGTCAGGGCGCCCAGTGTTTGACTAATTCACGGAATAAAAACGGCTACGTGTTTGAATGAACTGGGCTGAAGGAGTCGTGGTCGCAAATGCATCGGATGCGACACTACTACTGCCACCACCACCACCACCTCCGGTTTTAATGTTGTGGAGGCGTTCCACCAGGCACTGCGTGTGGCAGGTGCCTCCTCCTCACGGTGTACGCGACAGAGAGGAACCGGGTGATGAGTCATGGGCTTTCTTTGTTCACGTGTGAATGACTCATTGCCTAGCCCGTGTATGTGCGTGCGTGCAAGTGCACGTCCACGCGATACACGACGGTACACGGCGTCGTCTTTGGCAGCCGCTGTACCGACCTTCCACAAGTAGGACAGACTTAGCTCAGTCGTCTCGACGCTCACTTCTCCTGCGGGCGCATTTTTCGAGTTTTTTTGTCCTAAATTTCAACAGCTGACAAAATGCGCCCATGTGATTTCGTTTACCTGGAACTGATCTAGTTGGAAGCAGGGCGAGGAGTGAGGTTTCCCTGCAGTGTTAAGACGGCGAAAAGTGCGTTCGAAGGCAAGATTTCATAACAAGCATGACTCGATATGTGGTGATGATGGAGTGAACTGCGAACAATGCACTTTATCTATCAACAAACGTAGAAGACACCTTGTGTGGAGAAAGCGTCTTGCCATCGGCTGGAACGGTCTACCAAGTTAGACGATACCGAAAGCCGCCACTGCATAGACGATGCAAACGGAATTCATTCATTTCTCATTGGTTACACATTAATTGATTTTTACCTATCAGCTTTGACTCCAATACCGTGCATATATCGTGTTTTCTTTTCACGCACGAGGGGCATGCTTATCTATCGGCCACATCACATCGACAAGCTTTTAGCTGGATGATGTCCCATACTGACACACTTATCGGCATGAACCCGCATTCGACTCCATCTGTGTCGTGTGGTCCTAGCGTCGCGCCGGGAACAGGAAGGGCATGTGAGTGATTCACATGCCCGGCGGAGTAGGGTGGGGTTGGTACTCCTGACCGAAATTTGCGTACACGCACTCATTAGAGAAAGCGATTCCATCACCGCCCAGTTCTCTCCCCTGCCCTACCTACTGGAACACTTTACTTAGAGGGGAGACGGGGAGGGGCGGGTGGAGGGAAAAGTCGGGAACGTGATGCAAGCCTAGCCATGTCCGTGTTATCTGTCAACAAATAGGCAAGAGACGGTGAATTGACTGTAACAACCTCAGCAAAGTCCGACGATGTCCCAGTGCAACGGATTTCCCCAAGACCTGAGACCCTACAACACGTCTACTCACTGATTTGACATCAACTAACAGCTCCGGTCTCTCTTAATTGTGTAGAAGACACTGACCTAGGTGCTGACGTTTTGCAGACTCTTGTTAGCAAACTTCTCTTGTTTTGCTGATCTAGTACGTCCCCTGGATGATCACCTGATTTCCAATCACACAGCGAGCAGTGCTCGTGGACAGACTGCGTCGCACGTACATCACTTTCATCAGATTAGTTTTAGTCGACCTTCAGACAACGCGCCTGTTTTCGACTCCTAGATGTGCTGGCACTAGGATTAGGAAGAAGCCTGTCTTGGGAACACCTGATGGGCATCGTGAGGGATCGCAATTTGTGTTCCGCGACATGCCCCAAATCGACGCCTGCTAGCCGCAATTGGAAGCTCACAGTTTGCACTGGCTTGTTTGCGTTTGGCCATGCAAATCAAACGCGCTCGTGTAGTCTGAAGGGCACCACCACCATCACCACGTCTGAGCTATGAGTCATTAAGGCTGCAAAACAATGTACGCACACACACACGCACACGCACAACGCATGTATGACGCACCCGATTGAAGCTCGAACGCGCCCCGTGGACGTCGGACACCGCGATCGCACTCCCACCGTGGTCGCGTCGGTTTCGCCTACACACAGCACACGCCATTTGCTCAACCTAGCCCATGGGGCGTGGGTAGGGAGGACGCCTCAGCTCCCCTCCGCCTTGGTGTGATGAGTCATGCGAGGACTGACAGGGCATGCAAACACATGCGAGCACCCGTGTGCAATGGAGGGACGGCAACTTTTGGCAAAACAGGGGGAGGAGAGGCGCACACACACACATTTTTCAACAAAGACAGCGGTCAGATAATATCCTGAAGCGCGCGTCCGCGCGCCGCGCTACCGGTGACAGAGGAACTGTGACCACTGCGCCGAAGACCAACGTTGGTGTTCCACTCCGGCTCCCACGGAAACCCCGACGCTTTAGTGCAAGGCGTAGAAGGTCGATCGAGTGTTCTCATTGGTGAGAGGAAGCTGAACTTGGTGCACCTCCTGCATCGTCATGACGTCCACCGACCACAAATCACATAGCGTTGCTCGACCTCGTGACTGCAGGCCAGGAGTTTGCTAACTTTCTGCTGCACTTAGCTTCAACATAACTCCGTGCAACCATACACACGTATTGACGGCCGTTTCCTGGTGCGTTGGTAATATACGCGCTTCGACAGCTCCGCCGTCAATCAACATTAGTTGTAGAAGACAAATTGCCGACTTTTAGAACACACACATCAAAGAGCACAACACCGCACGCACGCATCAATATGTCCGTCGCGCGTTTTAGCCGAAATCGAGCGCCGTCAGACGTGTGACGGTGTAAGATACCTTGTGCATCACATCCAATCGGGTGCCTGCAAGTTGAGTCAGATTTGGCATTCGTGCATACGTGTCCACGTGGCGGCCGGCTGAGTATTCTGCCATTGATGGTTCCTCCGAAGAAGCGCCGAGTGTTTGATTTGGGTGAGCTTAACTACACTTAACCGACGGTGCGTATGTGGAAAACCACCGAGAATAGCTCTGAACTTAACTAGGGTAGACCTTTCACGGATGCTTGAAAAGCACATTCAATGTGTTTGAGAAACTGTGCTCTTGATATCGTTTATACAATGACGAGCCAACTTCACACGCATTAACCCGTGTCCAGTGGGGCTCAATCCTCATTCGAACATGTACATGCATGACGCTTTGCTCCTTGTTGCACCGCCTCAACGCAGACCGTTGACTCTTGATGTGGGCTCGAGACTGAAAATATAGCGTCGACAAACTTGCACGGGCAGTGCTCTGATCCCACACCCTGCTTTCTCACTGAAAATTAGGTTCCTGGTCTGTTTCACAGTCGTACAAACTCCAACCGGCTAATTCAATGAACCCTACAAACCAACCTAGTGTTAAGCATTTCATGCCCACACTCAACGATAACGCAGAGCCATTTCTGTGATCGACCCTACAGGCGTCAGCGACATCAATTCAAACGTCTTCCGACGAAAACTAGGCGACCACAACGGCAGCGAGCATAACGACGGCGCCCGCGACACAATGCGAGTTCTACGCCGCCTAGTTTTGTCGGGGCAACTAGGAATAAATGGTCCCCAGCCAAGTACCTTCCTTCGGTAGTCCATAGGCACACTCAAAACGAAGATTAGATGAATGGGTACCGAAATGCGAAAGACACCGGTTGACGAGCTACAAACCAGATCACGAGCACATCCGATGTCCGGAGCTACGCCGGTAGCGCTGCCCATCCAACTCGATTTCAATCATCCACACAAATTGGCAAGGCAATACAAAGAAACGTGGTGACAAGCGACCTGTTCGTTTTCTTGTTTTGCTTTAAAAAGTACAGCATAAATGCGTCACAGTTTAGGTGTGTGAGTACATTAAAGTGTGTGTGTGTGTGTGTGAATCGGGGCACTGAAAATACAATTATTATTAAAACGGTAGGTTAGACTCGCCCCAGGAATGATGCGCACACGAAAAGCAAGACTGGGTGGGGGGTGTACAGGTGGAGAGGGGGGCGGTGTCGGTGGCGGCGGCAGTGGGAGCGGAGGAGGAAGGGGACTGGCACTCGCCAGTTGAGAACAAAGTAAAAATACGCACACGGCTATCAAAAGAAAGTTGATGGTCAAAAATAGTTGGGTGGCTTTTGTTCAAATGCTCGCTGATATGGACGGCAGTCGTGGGCCACGACGGACCCTGAGCATCTGAAGGGGACGGGAGGTTCGCCGGCTGGAAAAATAACGATGGCGGGAGGCGGGGGAAGGGAGGTATTGGACTGGCCGAACGAACTGAATGGCCGGTCACGGGGAGGTGGCTGGGAGAGCCGGATCGGGTCACCGAACCCTCACCTCATGCCTTCTGTATGCGTGTGTATAAAATACGTAAATCAAGGTTCGTATACAAATTCAGCACAGCCTCGTTAAAGGGAGTGACATGAGTGTTTGAGGTCGACAAGTAACGCACCAATACGCACAGACGACCTTGCTGCTGCTGCAGTACTTTGAGTAGAAAAAGAGGGACGGAGGCGGTTTCTGAGCGCGTCGACGGAAGAGTACTTAGATGCACAACATAAAAATACAATATGTGAATGGCGCTTAAGGGGGAATGTGTTGCGAGGTTGGCTAAAAAGGGGAGAGTAGACCGTGAATCGCATCTAGGTGACGTTACCGGAGTCTGTAGTCGCTGTTGGAGTTCTGACGTGTCCCTTAACAAGGCCAAGGAGTTGATTCAAGGTTGCCTGTCTCCTCTGTCCGGCTGCGCGGAGCTCCTCGGCAAGGTGTGAGATCATATCTGTCAGGCGGAAGTGCACAGCTTCCTCTGCCTGCAAACGCTCAACAATACCAGCTATTTCGCCGCTGTTTGAGGAGAAACGCTCGACAAGGTTGGGAGGGAGGTTAGGAAAGAGAGCAGAAGCTGAGCCGGCGGTATTTTGGCAACCCGACTCAACAACTTGCGACGTGAGACCTACCAGACTAGTGAGGAGATTGGCGGTAAGTGAGGGGAGAGCAGAGAAGTCGCTAGTGGGGGGGTTAGACAGTGCTTGTTGAAGAATGCTAATGGAGTTGGAGGTTCCATTTTGGGTAGCGGAGAGGTCATGGGCTTGATCCTGAGATTTTATCCCCTCGTCTTGGTGCCTTTGCTGCTGTTGCTTGACAAGATCGGAAAAGAGTTGAGATTGAAGCAAGAGGGCAGCAGCAGCAGGATTAAAGGGGAATGGCAGGGGTGCAGTTGAATCCGGCTCCGGCTGCAAACGGTCAGCGAAGCCTGCCTGGGGCTTCTCACCATTGGCAAGAGAATTCACAAAAAGAGCGGTACCAGGAACAGCGCCAGATTTGGTGACACCCCCAAAACTTTTTTCCACGGTATTGGGAGTTGAGTGGACGTCCATACCTCCGCTGGAACCATATAGCGCATTGTTGAGGCAGGAGAGATTAGCAGTGCCAAGCTTGCAATGGGGTGAGTTCAAGCCACTGAAATGAGCATTCGATGTGTTTGACTTAGTCGTACATCCCGGACCCCCAGGAGTAACTGGCGTGGACTTGATACCACTTCTGTCACAAACTTGCATTGTAGTCGCGTCAACATTGGGGTAGATGACGAGGATAAGACGAGCAACTTGGCGTAGTATGGAGGCATTTCTAACGACCTTCATCGGATTGTTAACTAGAAGTCGGACATCGCGCCGTAGATTCTTCCATTTATTGTAACAGTGCTCTGTAGTAAATCCATAGGGTTCCATTTCAGCTCCGATGGCCTGCCAAACGGCCTTGTGCTTTTTTTGAACATTAAATTCGTGAAGGTGTTCCTCAACACGATCCAGTAAGAGCTGCACGTGTCGAGTTGTCCAGTGAACCTTTTTGTCACCAAGATCAGCGTTAGGCTTTGGACTATCCATGCTAGCAGATATTGGTTTTAGGCCCTCCATTTCATCATCCTCGTCGTCTGCGGTCATAGTAACGTCCGCGGGCATTTGTTCTAACGGAGACTCCGTGGACGGGTGGCATTCTTGTGACTCCGATCTGTTATATTCGGTAAGATGCTCAGCCATAGGCTCTTCATCATCATCCGCATCCTCCGGGAAACTGGGGCTCGACTTCTCTGAGCTCTTGCACGGATATTCATCCATAGTCAACATGTGATCCAAGATTTAAATGTCTGAAGAAGATGACCAACAAATCAACCATTAACTACTAAAAAACCGTTTAATGTAATTAGAAAAAAATTATGAATAAATACGAATTAAAAAGAAATATACCACACAATTTGTGACGCTTTGTATTCAAAACCAAAAGGCAGAGAAGGATAAAGACCTTCGCTGAAGGGAATGATTAGTGTACTTAAACAAAAGACAATCTAAAGGCCAAGCTTGATTGGTTTGACTCCAATGACCAAGCAACACTAACATTCTACATAACGAGCAAAATTTTATTTTTTATTAGATCTTTCCAAAAAGTTATACTACTGCATTGGAGTATGTCAAGTGGACTCAAAAAGTAGTTTAATAACTTAGGTAATTCTGAACATTTAGACAGATTTTGGTAGTTTAAACAAGCGATTTGTTTTAAACACATTTAGTAATAAGTTCCAAAATAACAAGCTTTTCAATGTATATAACTGAGTTCTCTCAATCGTAATTAAAGTATTGCCCTATTACGCATTTAGGATACAACATACATTACAATAATCAAATATTTGTTGCAATAAATATTTAATAAATGAGTTAATATTTTGCTGTTACAGTAATTTGTAAACTCTGTGAGCACCTGTTTTGTTAGTTCTCATAACATTAATACATCTGATGTCGGGCATTTGGGATTTCCTACGCACTGCATGTTTTCGATGACCGTTAATATATACACTAGCTGTAAATTTTCCAAAACTTCGAAAGCAACCTAACTGATATGCAGCAGATGACCGAAAAAGGTTTCCCTCCGACATAAATGATATTGTACAATTTGTCACTACTTTACAGTATCCATATTATTAAACGATAAATATTTTAAGGGAAGGCATTAATATTAGCTTCAAGAGAACTTTGACAACTCATTAATGATAACATATGTTTAATGACATCGAAATAGGAAAAATACTTTTTCAGCTTATTTTGAAGATTTTACACTATTTCGGATATTAGATTCTTAGTAATAATCTGTGAAACGCACCAGCACTTTGTCAAATGTAGTACTTGTTATTTATAAAAGCCCTGAATCAATATGAAAAAAATTCATTCGGTTTTCTGTCTTATTTATTTCGTTTTGATTTTTCCGTTATCTTAATTAATGACAATGACGCTACAGCAATGAACATAAAGCCAGAGAATACCCGAGCCCTAGTATAAGGAAGACTTGAACCAAAGAACATGCTTTTTGTCCATTCGAAAGCCAGGTGATGTCCATTCGAATCAGCTACGCTGGCAACGCCGCCCATTTTGCACCGCTTCTTATACGTGTCTGTCTCTGGTTAGCTGCATATCTTCCTCACATACCATTGAACGCAAGCGGACATAAGATTTGCTGGGTCCATCGTAGTCCAATATGTCCGCGCCCTTAAACGTCGATGCGAAGGTGAATTTAGCACCTTTTTAGCCTTAAAATGGACGACCCAATTGATGACGATGAGAAGCGGGATGATGGGGTAGGGTTCTCTCTAAAGTTGATCTTTATAGGGCTTTGATGAGCAAAACACGGATATTGACTTTCTGTACAATGATGCTGACGAGTATGGTGTTGAAATAGCCGGTTTGTCATTGTTTTCTTCAGATATTGTTATTTACAGAACTCTACAGTTATTCCGAAGAGAAGGAGTTCTTCCAAAATGCTCAAGATTTTGTAACCATATTTCCTTGTAAGTATAACGTGTGTCATGCATGATTTTCTTTGTGCTTTAAACATAAACTTCTAATGTTTGTTCTCAGCATCCGGTAAGTGGATTGATATGGATGATGCTGCGCGTCGTGGTCATGTGAATAAACTGCTTGATCTGCTTGAGTCGTCAAGCAAAGAACACCGTCAAAGAGCTGCTCGTTCGATGCTCTACTTGCTACAGGGTGTGTTCAAAGAATGCGACCTCGAGGAAGACCAGATTACGTGGGCACGACGCAATGTATACCTTTGCATCGAGTGTGGTGTTCTCTCGGCTGCTCTATCTCTACTTTTGTTGGAGATACGTTATGAGTGAGTTGAGGAGAGAAAAGCGCTAGATTCGTCTCAGCTCCACCCGTGTTTAAATCCCTTTGTCCCATTTTAGGGACTGGTCAAGGAACCTGAGCACGACGTCTTCGGATTTAACTTCATGTGGCGATGCCACTTGTAAACAACCCGCCACACTAACCAACAACGCAAATATCCGTGTTGTTTTGTCGATTATTTATATTCTTGTTGAAACTGTTCGAGATGGCTGTCAATCTGCCGGTTCGAATGCGTCGTCTTCAACAACGGCCATAATTACAAGGCCATCTTCATCCACTGTTTTGGACCACACAGCGAAATTACGCGAGCAGTTTATTGCTGAATTGGGTAGTTGTCTACTAGTGGTCTTTTTGCCGTTTGTTTTTACATTCCCTTTTACTCTTTCGTTCCCTTTTCCTAGGTGCACCCATCAACGACGGAAGCCCCCTAACTATCGTCCTGTTTGGCATGGTTCATCGATTTTGCAGTGGGCTTGCGCCTCATTTTCCCATGAAGAAAACGCTCCTTCTACTCTGGAAAACCATTCTGGTGTGTGTTTCGAGGCTTTCGCGTACCAAAGGGCATCGCATTACCTATTGTTTTATTTTAGCTGACGCTAGGTCCGCTATCGAACCTGTTTGAGAGGAAAAACTGCCAACGTCGGGCCGTCAACCTACCCGAGCTGCACGAGGACACTCACTTGGTCGTTCGTAGAATACGTGCCAACAGTCCCCCTGCGAATCCGGCTGACAGTTTTCTTAATCGGGCCGTCCGCACCAATAACCGGCATTCGATTCTCGGACAGGGGAGACAGGGTCCAAGACAGGGAAGTCTGGCCGGTGGTCGTCTAGCTGTGCAGCAACAACTAGCCCAGCAACAGCTTCAACAGCAACTTCAACAACGCCAGATGCAACGTCGTTGGAATCCGACATTCAACTTTGCAACCTCGGACAACGTCGGGAGTGGAGAATCGATGCGGGAGGCCGATCTTCCAGGTATTGCCACCCCGCGTCCGGGATCTCCGGTTAAAAACGAGGACGCAGTTGATACACCGATGCCATCGACAGTACCAGCGCCAGGATCTCAGATTCCCCACTCAATCCTCTCCCAACAGCTCATCACTGGCATCCTCAACTCGTTTTCCGACGTAAAAGTCTTACCTTGGCGACCGAAGGTTCGGACAAGCGATATTGAGGTGAGTGGTTGTAGCACTTGCTCATACGCGATGTTATGCTGGATGTAAACTCTTGTCTCCCTGTTCTAGAATTTCGTGAATAGCGCGCGCCATAAGTTTGTGCATTTCCGCGTAGCCCAGGACACAACATCGTTGTATGGGCTACCCGAGCCTATCCACGAAGCTGTCAAAGTTTTAAAGAAGTATCACTACATCTCTCTTGGTGAGGTGCAAATTAAACAAGAGGCCAATTTCGCCAAATATCCCCTTCTCCTTGTAAGTTCCCATTATTGTCTTCATCTCCACCTTTTTCACCAATGTTCAAACCATGCAGTTTGTTGCGCTGTTTATAGCTTTTAATTATAAAAAAGTCCAAATCGAACGTTTAGCCGTGATTTTAAGGTGGCGTCAGAAACTGTCAGTTCAATCGATTCGCCTGCTCTCTTTGCGACCACATGGCTCAAAATGCTAGTTAAAGTTAATCCAGCGAAACTAGTTAATCTTCCTGTGATCCGTCTCTCGCTTCTACTTTAATGATCCTGCCTCTCTTTTCTTGGCCTTTTACACAAGAGGGCTCAACGAATTTCATTATTAGGCGTATGTTGTCTGCAGAAACGTTAACCTCGTTGTAGAACAGATTCCTTCCGACAAAAGGAGATAGGCAATGCACTACAATGAATGAAATGTTGTCGATACTTCAATAACCACTAAGTCGACTTCGTTTAGTTCGTTCTGCCTGTCATCACCCTCAATTTTGCCATTGAAATTACGCGTTGTGCTGACTGTTCACACCTCCACTGTACAAAATTTATGTGTCCAAGACAGTGATGGTTGGCTTTAGAGCCTCCAGTTTTATGGTTTAGCTCAGGTTGGTCTTCGCTAAAAAAAAGACGGGGTATGTTTGAAACCACTTTTTTTCATTTTTCTTGAGGGTAAAGAAAATTTTCCCGACACCCCCGCGGAGAGGCTGTACGTGGCGATGCTTCCTCTACTACCGCAGTACATGGTAGGTCTTCTTGCTTTTGGTACGAGAGCCCGTTTCGTGCAAGAGGTATTGAGTAGGGCCGTGATTGGTAGACAAGCGGAGTACAGGCTGCCTTCCCGAGAGTGTGTTGTTGGCTTGAGAACTCACGAGCCAACACCCAAACGAATTCATTGTTTTCTCGTTCATTTTCTGCGTGTCATTGGTCTATACTTCTACCCACTCTACTGATTGGGTTCTAATAGTAGTTTCTTGCGTTTCTGTATTGTTAACGGCAACAGACTCGGAACATGATTGACCATTGACTTACTCCAGTTTTGGGCCTTGTTTCTGGAATGCCAACGTACCTGTGTGTGTGTGTAATTCCACGCCAATCGAATGCCTCAATGCTTTGCAGATTGCCGTTCTCAAAGTCCTATTGGCGTCTGCTCCGACATCGCGCACAAAGACGGAGCCAATCAACATCCTAGCGGAGATAACCCCTGCCGAAGCGCCGTAAGTTCACTCGATTTCATCCTACGCGCCCCTCCCCTCTCCCGCACCTTTTTTTTTCTAGAACGAACCAGTTGCAGACCCTCGTTCTCAACTACGACATCAATCGCCATCGAGAGATCCTCGTCAAGGCCATCTCGGGTCTTCTGTTGCTTCTGTTGAAGCACTTCAAGCTGAACCACATCTACCAATTTGAGTATATTTCACAGCACCTGGTTTTCGCCAATTGTATCCCCTTGGTGCTGAAATTCTTCAACCAAAACACCCTCCTCTATGTGCAGGCCAAGAATAGCATAATGTGCCTCGACTTCCCCGCGAGGGTCATCGGCGACGTACCAGAGTTGACGCCTGAAATGCTGGTAAGCGACTTTGCTGTTCTCGGCTGTACTGTTTGTTGAGTTGATTTCTTGACAGGGCGCACATTTCAGAAGTTGACGACGGCGTGGGAGAAATTGTAGGGCCGTTGCCACACGTATCACGCCAACAAAACCGTTGAAAATCGTCTGACATGTCTTGCATCTGCTCGGAAGCCCGATATTTGGGCTCGGCTTGCATTGATAGAGGAATTGGTATTTTCATTTTGCATCTCAAACGCATCGAAGTAGTCTCGTTTCTGGAATCAGCCATCACTATTGGTTAATTTGAAGGAAACATTAACAACGGCATCATTCGAAAGCCATCGTGGTATAAGCATGATGAACCGGTACCAACCACATCCAAAGTTGCCCGTGAATTTTGTGTAACCACGGTGATGACGTGTACACGGATCTTTACTTCTGAGGAACCAATTGGTCGATTAACTTGTTGACAGTCAAATACTAGTGAAATTACTCGACTAGGAAGCAGTCGAAACAGCAGCCAATGCTGGGATGAAGACAACACACGGCCAACATTGGTACTGTGTAAAAAAGTGGTCGCCGCACCCCTCACTAAACAGCCTTGGTCTTACCTTCCTGCCGAATCCTTTTAGAACGGCGACTGGTCTCCGTGTTGCTGGCGCAATATGTTCTCGTGCATCAATCTCCTTCGAATTTTGAACATGCTGACCAAGTGGAAGCATTCGCGAACACTTGTGAGTTCTCCAGTCGAAGTCATAACCCCGTTCTACTTCAGTCAATCGTACTTTTCACAGTTACCAGCCTTTAAAACGGTTTTGCTGTGTTGTTTCGCTTCTAAGGTTCCATTTGAAGTTCTCTTTAGTGCAATAACGATTAAGCTTGTTAGGAATTCGATCCAACCTTGAGGATGATCATATGTAGGGAATGTAGTTATGTAGTTGACTTGGACACTTCAACCCCCTCATTTTCAGATGCTGGTTGTCTTCAAGTCCTCCCCGATCCTCAAGCGTGCTCTCCGAGTGCGTCATGCTATGCTGCAACTCTACGTGTTGAAGCTTCTGAAACTGCAAAGCCGCTACTTCGGTCGGCAGTGGCGCAAAGGCAACATGTCCATCATGTCGGCCATCTACCAAAAGGTTCGCCATCGCCTCACTGACGACTGGGCCTACGGCAACGGTATGGATAAGCCCACCACCGATTAGCACTTTGTCGGATCGTTTCGCGTTAATTTTACTCTCCCTCTCCTAGAAAGCGAAACGCGTCCCTGGGACTCCCAAGTGGAGGAGTGCACCTTGCGCTCCTGCATAGAGCAGTTCCATCAGCGTCGCTACTACGGCGAGTGCCTCTTGCCCGACTTCCAACCCGTGGACAACTGTCTGATGTCTGTGCTGAGCCAGCCGGTTGAACTTCCAAGCGACTTCAAGCGCAACTACGAGCGCTGGCTCGAGGAGGAAGTCTTTTCGACCCCCATCAACTGGGACAGAGTGGTGTTGAGCGACCCTATCGCAACGACCACCTAATTTGCAATTATATCTTCCCTCTCACTTTAACACGTCTCTCACTGTAACCCTTCCTTGTCACAAGTAAAACCAACCACAACAATCCCGCCTTATTCCCTTTGGTTTCAAATGAGGTTCGAACCTTGGCCCAAACGGTCAAAGTGAATCCGTTCACCTTGCTGAGGTGATTTCAACTTCACTTGATAGCCGAGTCTACTCCCAAGGTGGGCCACCCAACTAGGTTACAGGTAGATTAAATGGGAAAATGGAACTCCTTCGACTTAAGTCAGAAATGCATAACTTTATTCCAGTTGCATGGGAACCAATAAAAACGCAGGAGGAGAGTCCGCAACAAAGTCTTACATTCTCTGCTGAGACATTGGCGGCATGCCCCTAGGGCCAGGGCCCACCGGTGTCTCGTCGACTGGGTTCTTTGACTCGGGATTCTTGATGGTTTCGTCGACACTCAAGATCATGCAGGCGGCTTCTGTCGCTGCTGTGATGGCGTTGCTTTTCACCAGAGCTGGTTCCCACACGAATTTATCGAAATTGTTGGCTATGTCCTCGGAGGCGATGTCAACTCCCGCCCACACTTCGCCTATCAACCAAATAAGCAAAATGCATCAGCCCAAACGCTTTGGATGGTTTAGAGAAAGGTCTACACAATATCCCAGAATTCAGGAGTAGCAAAGTATCAAATAAGTGATGTTCCTCTTTGACACCACAAATTAAGGTTATCATGTTAATAGCAAAATTTGATAACGATTTGAAGATAAGACAGGATATAACGAGTGTTAGGGCTTACCCTTAGCATGAGCTTGACGAAGTCTGTTTAAGATGTTCGTGGGGTCAAAACCTGCATTCTCACAAAGCTGTCGAGGGATAATCTCGAAGGCACGGGCCATCGCGGTTATAAAAAGCTGGTCTTTTCCGGGAATATTTCTCGCGTGGTCGCGGAGGTGCTTGCTTAGTTCCATATCAATCGCTCCACCACCAGCGACGAAGGCGTCGTTCTTTATGGCACGGCGGACAATCATGATGGCATCGTGAAGGGAACGCTCCGTTTCTTCCATGAATTGTTCCGCACCACCACGAAGGATGATAGTGCACGCCTTAGATTGGGTACAGCCCTTAAAAATGTTGAATCTAGTAGCCACTGGTACACGGAATTTTGAAGTTACCTTTCAGAGCCAATTTGGACTTCCTCAAAGCTCTCGCACCTTCCAAGCATGTCATCCGTCAAGCCTTGGACGGTTGTTTGAATGCTTCCGCCACAGGCCATTTGGGTTCGCTTTAGGTCCTCCTCAGGAACGCGACCAGCGCAAAACATGTCACGATCAGCGAAGAATTGGGTGGCAACATCGCCAATTGGCAGTTTTGATAAGACAATTTTGACCCCGGCCTTGTGCAAAATCGACAGCTTTTCATAGAGGACACTCCACTCGGCTTGGACCACCTTCTCGTACTCCTCTACTGTGTTTAGCCGGATCTCGGCATTTTCCTTCTCTGCTTTCAACTCTAGTTCAATGTTGAGAAGGGCAATGACAGGATTTTTGTATGACTTGGGCTGCATTTCAAAGCCGGCATAGCTAAAGGTCTTCTTGAATGCGACACCATCAACCAGCCGCGATTCCTCCAAGGCACCACCGGCAACCTACGACAAACGATTTGTTTTTACTGGAGAAATACGAACCTTCTTTATACCAATCATTTTAAGGGGAAGATGCGTATCAAGGCTCTTCACGGCATCAACAACTAGCTTTGAGAAGAATTCCTTCTGACCCGCAACGAGCTTGGAACTAAGCGCAGTAGCTGCACACATTTCGAGAAGTCGTCTCTGTTCACTAAAAAGACAGCAGTTAGAAAGTGCGAAGTAGAACCAAACAGGGATCTGCAATGAAACACTTACGAGGGGCTATCTTTTTCAACGCGGCAAGCTAATGAACTGAGCTTTTCGAGGGCAATTCTTGCGCCCTCACGAAAAGCCCGAATTATGATGGCAGGATGGACACCCTCTTCGACGTACGGCTTGACTTGTCGCAACAATTCCGCCGCTAGCAAGGTGACACTGGTAGTTCCGTCACCAACCTCGACGTCTTGAGACTTCGAAATATCTACCAATGACTTGGCAGCTGGATGGACAACATCCAATAACTTTAAGATAGTAGCACCGTCATTGGAAATAGTGGCGTTGTTGTTACTGTCGATAATTAGCTTATCCATTCCCCGAGGGCCCAGAGTTGTTCGAACCGCATCCGCAACTGCCTGACAAGCATTTATATTGCTTATGATTTGCGGCACTCCTTGAGAGGTGTCTGTGCCTTCTTTTAATAGAATTATTCTTGGTGCCTTAAAACGATTAGAAAAATAAAAAAAATTAGCTCACAAGCATGCCGAGGTGAGAACACAGCAACTAGAACCACAATAAATGAACGTTGATGAATTCAAACAAACAGCGGGTTCATCAAAATTTAATGAAACGTTAGTTATTTAATACATTTTTAAAAAACATGCAAGCTTACACGATCTAGAGCAGCAACTAATAAGCCGCTAAAATTTTACAGATTATAAGCTTCAAAAAATTATGATATTCGAAACTGCTTGATTTTCGGATGCATGAAATCTTAATTTCCTCAGTCCCCGGAAGTACATATACGAAACTGCCAAAAAAAATTTTTTTATAAATTTGCAGAGTGATTGTCGACAAATCTAGAACTAGCATCGTTGTTGACTTTAAACACAGGTGTTCCTTGTTGCAAAAATCGAGCCATTTGACACATATTGCAAGTTGTTTTTTTTTGAAACTCTTTAGTCGATTAATCCATGTCGCTTGTTTCCGTTTACAACCTAACATGTTTTTTTCAATTCCTTTATTTTTCAAACTGCACTAATATTTTAGTGTGTATATTTTTCCAAGATATGGGTTCTGGGGTCATAGTTGTACAGTAATAGGTGTTCTGTTACTTGTCTGTAAAATAAATTTCGAGCAATCCAGGCTATTCACTATATGCGTACACGTCACGACGTGACACAAATGTGAAATAAATGCGCTTTAGAATGCGATTTGCTTGTAGAAATGAGATTTATCGGTGTGTATTTAGGGCAGCAGATATAATCGCAAATTGGCCATTTTTTTTAGATTTTGTATGCAGCGGTGAATTCCCGACCAATAAAAATATGGGCATTCCGTTGGTGTCGTGTTGTAAATATTAACGGTACGCTGAGAAATCCCAGTACTGCTACGTTGAAATTGCTCATTTATTACCGTCTGGCTGTTTTCTAGCAACCCAGATGCTAGGCTTTATTGTAGTGATATCAAAAACAAAGTTTGTAATGGTCTGTTTACTAAACAAAAATTCCAAAAAGAATATTTAAATGGTGCAAAAAAGAATGTCAGTGAGTTAGTTGCTAAGTTCATTCCATTCCATTGACTGAAATAGATTATTTGGGAACCCCTATAAATCTACACTAGGATCGATTTTCAGCCTAGTATTTGTGCATGCTTTTAGGCTAATTACTGAATCAAAGTTTATTTTTACGAATGAGCATTGCTATTTGTAGGCCATTAGTGTCTGATACCCTGACAAAAGCCTCCTTACGACATCAGCGCGTCTTGTTTTTTATCAGTTCCTCATACTCTCGAATAAGTAACGGGAATGGTCTATCTTCTCTTCATATATTTTTGTGGAGCATCAAAGGACGCTATTGAAAGACGAGATATTTATGTTAATGTCCGACATTAGATTGTGCTGACACATCATTTTGGTAAAACCTTTATGTGGAACGAAATTTTTTTGATTTCTTTACCCAAGATTAAGTTCAGGTATGTTTAAAATATCGGTGTGCCATTCATTAACTAAGACTGCATTCGGGTAAAATATATATGTGCATTCGATCAGTTGATTTACGCTAAAAAACCATCAAACATTTCTTTAAAAACGGATTCTTACAGAGTTATCCCCAATCCTAATTTCAAATAAAATACATTTGTATTGGGAATTAGCTCATTTTCCACAAAAATAACGATAAAGTATTTGTCATTTATTTTTTGAGTCATCGATTAAAATAATATTCTTTGTGTCATACTGGTCAGTAGAAAGTAGACTTTAATCAGGAAGGTTTTCATCTTGCAATTCACAGTAAAATGCTTCGTTTATTTTCGAGTGATATTGAGTGTGGTGACAGTTATTCATTAAAATTGCAAAAATTGGCTGAAAAATTAAATTCCCATTATAGCGAAAATTTTCCAAGCACTATGATTCTTGCTTGCTTTATTTATATTTACCGTCTTTTTTATCTGGAATGTGGGAGTGTGTTTGAAGGTATTTTTAGATCAGGCGAATCAATTAAAAGTCCTTGCGTAGCCTATGTTGTACATTATTTTGGGCGCCTCTGTGTTTGTGCTACTCCTATTGGGCTATCTTTTTCTTGGTGTCTCTCGCAAATCAACTGTTCTAATTACAGGAATATGCGATTCCGGGAAAACTGCCCTTTTCGTTATGCTTGTGCACAAAAAAAATGCGATGACATTCACTTCACTTGCTCCAAATACTGAAGACTACAAACTAAAAACTAGGGTACCCTATATTTGCTTCAACATCGTTTAGTCTTCAAGAACTTTAAAGATTGTTGATGTTCCTGGTCTCGAGAAATTGAGATTTGAATGTGTAAATAAATACAAAACCAACACGGCGTAAGTTACTATTCTAGTGTTAATGGATTTGTAGTGGAGTAATTTTCGTGGTTGATTCGTCGAAGATTCAGGCACTCCTAAAGGATACTGCTGAGTACTTGTTTAATCTAATGACGGATGGAATTCTCGCTCGAAACAGAACTCCTTTTCTCATTTTGTGCAATAAGAACGATGTGCCCGGTGCTAAGAATGCCGTTGCAGTAGAAAAAATGCTTGAGACTGAATTGTGAGTGCTTTTTTTATAATAGCTTTCTCTACCACTGCACCCTCTCTAATTTTCCTCTAAAACCCTACCTGTTTCTATCCCATTAAACCATCTATTTTTGCTGCATTATGTCATTGCCTTACTTTTTGTAGGACGACACTCTGCCGCACAAAAGCAGGTGGACTTGCTGCCTTAGATGGCCATAACGAACGCCAGACCGTCCCTATTGTGCGCCCAGATGAAGCGTTTTCGTTTGCTAAGAACAAATTACACCGTGTCACCTTTGCTGATTGCTCTGCTGTTTCCACGGATATCAGTCCCGTCCGCCTCTGGCTCGAGCGTCTGTAACTAGGCACCTTGTTTGGCTTTTTGCCTCCCAATATGTGATTTGTTATCAAACGGTCTTATTTCACATAAATGCCAAGTAGCCGTGAGTTTTTTAGAAGTCAAAGTGACGGTGAGTAGAGTTTGACCTGCATCGCTAATTTCTGCTCATGTTAGGGTGAAGAAAATTTATCCCAACGTCACTTATCCTAGCTGGACTGACAATAGTGGAAAGGGGGTTTCGTATTTGCGTTCTTTTAAGTGGGAAATTAGGTGCTATTCAAGTGGATGCTGAAAGATTCTGCAAGTTTCACCTAGTCGCACCAGACTGTGGGCCATATATAACCACCTACATAAGTTATTTTAGTAGTCTGTTTTTTTCGGACTACTTGCTGTTTCACGTCAAAAAATACAGGAACTGGCGAATGAAGGTACAACCGGAGTGTTATAACAATTACTGAGGCTTATTACTTATTAAACTAACTACCGTCATGGTCAGGTTTTTTCTACCGTAAAAATCGTCTCTGTGTTTTCAGTTTTCATGTCTACTTTTAAGCAGACACGCATTACTTCCAGTAATCAGGATATCTAGCGTTAACTAATAATTCCGCCTTAATTGAACGAAGATATTTGTAGAAATAATCCGTACGTATTTCTAAATTAGTAGCGAGACAATCGAATGGGTGGTGAGTTGGACGAGGCGAGTCAGCTGCAGCCCAATCGCGTACCTTCGCGGTTCTCCCGAATTTAACTGAAGGGCATTTGAGCTGTGAATGTCCATTTTCTTGGTTTGTCGGTAAACTGGTTTCGGACGTGCTCTGTAATGTGGTTATGTTATGACTCCCCAACTTATTACAATATTTATAAGCGGTGGGGCGTGCGTGTTAGTCCATCTGACTCACTCAGACGTATTTAACCTGGCCGGGCATTTTTCCACGGCGCGTCGATCGCACGTGATTAGAACTCACTCGTTGTGATTACTGTTCAACCTGGGGGAGCTACCGGCCACACAGACGCACCGAACACCCTTCACGATCGATGGCCAGTGAGTCGCAATCACACTTGATCGATTTGCCGTGGCCACGCAATTTTCGGTTCCAATTTTTCACGACTGTGTAGAATTCATTGATCGATAAAAGTGGTTGGTAAGGCATACCCTCCCAAACCAAATGCATGATGCTGAGCTCGACCAATCGGAATTGGACGTTTGCTGAGGTGTCATTGGGATTCAGAATCTCGTGGCGAATAATTGATGTGAAAGTCCACCTTGCTGTCGATAACGAAGACCAGTTGTTCAAGTTGGTATTGCGCATAGTGGATTGTTGAATTGAATTGTCAAGTGACAATCCGGTGAATATCCGGATCTCTGTTCAACTTTGCCGTAGCAACCCGTTGTTTTAAACACCGACGTGACTCAAGCTTTGTCGTCAATGCCTTGGTGATTTGCTCAAAATCTGCTTCGATTTCAACCAGTTCATCGAGTTCAATGTTTGTTTTAATCAATACTGGCCACACGCACACACTTATCATCCCCAGCGCAAACTTATCGATAAATGGATCTGTTTACAACCGGAGCCGTTGGATTTTGCTTCGTTCTGTTGTTTCAATCACCACTGCGCCCACGGCCGCGTATTCAAACCACCTCGAACAGTGTGTGGTGTGTTGCCGAAACACCCAGCCCTGCGTAAGCGACGACGCGAATTTCGTTGAAGAAAACACCACTGGTTGCCGTGCCTGAGTCCCCCCCAGACGCCCGGACGCCTAAAGCATCAAAGGTGGCCGAAAAACTGGCCGAAGCAATTTCTCCATCGGAGCGGAGGCCTGTATATTGCCTCGCCCCCCCCCCCCCCACCCCAAACCTACGGAACCGTCCGGTTAAAACCACAAAATTTTCGGGTATCAGACAAGAATGGAAGCGGGTGATTGATTGAAACGACGAATGCCCTGTTCTCTACGCCCCCAGAAATACGCAGCGAGAGAGAGGGGAGTGGAATTACCCTCGTGTTCCGCGGACGCCCATCTATTATCTCATTTTCTCAGTGTTGATTAATTTCATGCCTATCATGCGCACGCACACACCCGGCAGTTGCCCCCAACTCGCCGCCTCCTCCCCTCCCATCACCTCCGGGAACATCGTTTCTGCATTTTTTTTGATCGTTTCTACGCGAACGTTGCTGCAAAATTGAGCATTAATCATAAATGGAATCGTGTGTGTGTGTGTGTGTGTGTGTGTGTGTATGCAGACTTTTTGTCGGATTTCGCTTAAGATAGATGTGTGTGCTTGCAGTTGGTAGATCGAGCAAATCCCTCCTTCTCTTACTCTTCCCCCTCCTCCGCCTCCTTCTCCTCTTCCTCCTCCTCCTCCTCCTCTTCCTCCTCCTCCTCCTCTTCCTCCACCTCCTCTTCCTCCACCTCCTTTTCCTCCTCCTCCTCCTCTTCTTCCTCCTCCTCCTCCTCCTCTTCCTCCTCCTCCTCCTCTTCTTCCTCCTCCTCCTTTTCCACCTCCTCCTCATCTTCTGAATCCGTTTCTCACTCCCATGAAACAAAACCTGACTCGATTTTTCAATTTAGCTGGCATTGGCCGGGTAAGTGAGCGAGGGTTGGGTTATCAAACGTCGACCATCTCACCTGCGCACACGCCACTTGATGGAACCAAGAGCCCGCTCAACTCAGAGCGAAAAAAACCGCGACAACAACAACAACAGCGCCACCAGCAGCTTTTTTATCGGTCAGTCTAGCTGACCACAAACCGCGGTTTTAATGGAAACCCTACGGGGTGGTGAAAACGGCAGCTAACGTCGCTGTCATATCTCCTCCTGCCATCGCAGCGAACCCACCACGAGACACCTACGGGCAGCGGGGGTTATCGCAACTATTGTGAGTTTTATCACCAACAAAAGTTAATCAACCCAGCTCCCTCGCTAGCTCTGTGTGTGTGTGTGTGTGTGTGGATGTTTGATGGAGGAGGAGGCGGAGTGAGTCACGGCTGGGAATTATTCACAACCCCCGTTGTTCGTGTAATTGCTTGGGCGCACATTACGGACCTGCACACAACTCCTGCATATGCAATTGTAATGGCCCGTTTTGTGGACAGCCTCCCTCCTTATGAATTAACCAATTATCAACCAGAAGTCTACCACCGAGTGTAAATAGACTATTTCTATGCGCGTGGCAGCATCATCGGGCAACCTCGTTTCTCATTGGACCGGTCGTTGACGCATCGTTCTGTGGATTTGGCATGAACTCCCTTCCAGCCGATGTTATTCCAGATTCTGACATTACATGCCTTCCACGTGTTCGCCACTTCCACCTACGTGAGACTTCCAATTGCCCCCAAACTCCCGATTTCAGGAACTGTGCATGCAAATTTTTATGCATGCCATGTGGTCCACCCCCTTTCGATACTGCGTGATTCATCAAACATTCGTTTCTGCAAATGTCAGACGGCAATTATAGCGGGCTTAGCGTCGTCGTTTGGGAGCTGTTGGCATTTCCCAAGGTGCATGGCAAATTTACGCTGAAAAATAGTTGAGGTTCGGATGTTTTAAAAAAAATATATCGACATTCCAACACTTCCACAGTCGAGGTTGTAAAAAAGAAGCTCCTAGCTCTCAAACACATTAATTAATGAGTTCATTTGGCATCCGTGGTTCGCAATGCACTGATGAACTCGTGAACCCAAACGCCAATCACCTTGACCCCAGAAACAAATGTCGAATAAAACAGCAGTTTGCCAGGCTTATGATGTGTTTATTTTGAAGAAAAATATAAGGTTATTTAAGGAAATACAAACTTTGTTGACCGGGCATACTCACATCCTTGTCGAATGCCCGCCACTGTCGTGTTTGAATGCATGAATTTACATTCCCACCGTTCTGATTGGTCATGCCAGTTCAGAGATCGAAGACTACTTCTCCTAAACAGAGGACTACACACTAACACTGCACTTTGTGTGTGCAAGATAACAGATGTGTTGACTTCGTACAACCTAGGAGAAATCGTCATGAACATGATTCAAGACGTCCGCAATTTATGGATTGGCGGAAACCAGTAAGCGTTGTCCAAAGGTATAACTGCACACGCTATTTCGGAAATCGACATCATAATATTGACCATTGGTGGCCCTTTAAACCTAACGGTCATCCGAAGCATGTGGCTCCTTTGACGCTGAAACGTACATGCCAGCTTTTTTGCATTTCCGTCCAAAGATGGCCTGTTGGCTTAAACGGTGAACACTGTTCGAACTGTTGTTGGAAGCAATGCCGATTTAGAAGGGGACTACATCGTTTGCTGCGTGAAAATTGACTCGTGGTACAATCCAACCTGGACAATCTCGAAGCTGCCTTTCGTGGTGGGTTGCCATGGAACCCTTTGGAAGCAGCGAAGACAAGCGCTGACTTCGTAGGGGGAGTGGAGGGAGTAGGTAAAGGTTAAATTCACGCCGAAGAAACTCGTGGCATTTAAACAAGGAAATTAAACAGCGCCGAATGCACCTGCTGAAATACACCACCACCACCACCATCGCTGCCGCCGCCACTAACACCTGCACTCGCTTTGAAACGGCATAGTCTACCGACAAGGCCTACACACACACACTCGCCTAGTCGGTAATTTACCGGTGTGATGAATGGTTTCTAGCATTCTTAAGGCTTTTTCAATCACGCGTGATCTCCATTTCTCTCTCTCTTTCCTTAATTTGCCTTGTCTCGTGAAAATGAGGATAAATTGTATTTCAGTGGGGCGATAATTGGCGAGATTAGAGGAAGGCAGAACAGTTCCGGCGTGGTTCTCTGTTGGAGGAATTGGAGGTACTTGAAAGAGGAAAGGTGTGGGATCATTGGATTTCTTCAAACACGTCTGCATCCGATAAGGTGCACCTCGTAGACCAATTCAACCATCCACGACAGATCTTCCACAGTACTCTGTCCGTGTCTGAGACCTGCTTCCGCTGACAACTCTTCACCTAATCTGTCCCTGAGTGCCCGTATGAGGTGAACTATTCGACCATATGCACGATGCATCACTCGTTCTACTTCCTTATCCACAATTCGCACTCATCTCCTACCAAGAGAATTCTATCAACCTAGCAACACCGCAACCATGAATAACATTCCATTAACACATCCACAAGAAACAGTATGGTTAAGTGATGCGACAATGATGGACTCTGCAGAGGCCACAACAGATCGAACGCGTCATCAGCTCGATTGGCGAAATGAGCCTTTGTCGGGGAGTCCGATCTCAACAGTGACGTCTATTCCACAGTCAGACACAGGATGATCTTGCAACGGAGTGATTTTCGATTCCCGTATACCTATTCGCAGACGTCTAGAAAATTGTAATGACTTGAACCAAAGATCCGACGGCTTTTTTCGGTGTAATCGTTAGTAGTTGATGGTTTGTGTGTACCATATCCTCCCTCGTCAATGCACACCTTCGAATTATGGCGTTTGGAGACCGTCAGTTGAATTTCAACGATATCCAGAGCTGGTGCTGTTCAATATCTCATGAGTAATGGCAAATCCGTCGAGTCTGGAAGTCACTTGGCAAATGCAGCCTAATACCACATGCTCGTCATCAGGAGAGAATTTCCGCACTGGCCATAGCCAAGTTACGCCAACATTCGTCGAGTCGCCATGGCAACGTGTGATCTGGCTTTGTAAGACGCCAATTCTTCGGTAGCTGCCGCCATTGGTTCCGCATCTTAGCGTTTCACCATCAGCTTATTCGCACGAACGTGACGTCCAACTCATCCAGACATCAAGCTTTGTTCGCAGGCCCAGTCAGACTTGACCTGTCGGCTATTGTCTCAATTAGGAGGTTGAAATTGAGGATATATCCTCAGAAAACGGCTCCAATTCAGAATCCAGGTCAGGTTAAAACAATGCGTTTCTAAGGGATTGTGCGTGTGTGAGTAGGTAGACCTGTTTGTCCACGCTGGCGTCGGTGAATGGGCACCAAGTTACAAACACACACACACATGCAGACACAACAGGGCACCAGTCACGCACATCGCCCGCTTCTCCCCACCCCAGCCCCTCGGTCCCACTCGAGAGAGAGAGAGAGTCTGACACTTAGTTGCTATGACGGCATCTGGTTTGATAAACAGTCGACCAATAAACAAAGGCGCCTAGCGACTAGACCCGGACTGGGATGTGGCGGGGTTCGCCTTGTACCGTATTCGTAGACAGCGGTGCCGCCGTCACCGCATGTGGAGTTGTTTCTAGCCAACTGTTGTCGCAGTTTCGCTGAATGAAGCCCTTCGCAAACCTTAACATGCACGTGTAGGCTCTCTCGACGTGAAGGCTTAATCGAACAATGACCTTGGGCCCACAGCGCAGTGCACTTAAACAGGGCTCTGTGCTGGTGGCGTTTGAAGGTCATCACACCACCATATCTATTCATTTGTTTTAGCAAACTCACACACGTCTATCCTACCCGCTAATTTGTTTTGTTAAGGTGGCTCTAGAAAGTGCGCGAAGACAAAACGTATAGGCATCTGGAGGTCGTAAAAACTTTTTTAAGCGCATGTGACTTTGATTGGAGCCAAAACCACGTCCTAATAATTTAATCATACAGAGATGTTTGGGACTATCGTGGTTAAAAAGGACTTTCCCAGGGAAAATGTGAAATTGCAGTTGTGGAAATATGTTGAAGTAAAATCGAATCACGGAATTCCAAGCAGTCTGATGAATCTAATTCCATTTCGAGTTCAGCTAAAAGGCATCAACATCCTTGTCACTCATGGGTCCAGGTTCGAGTCCCTTGGTACCGTCAGTTTCACTGTAAATAACACTCCGTCCTGCATGCCAATTCCTAAGTGATTCCAAGTCGTCAATTTCAAACGTCCGTCGGTTCGATAAGGGATTGCAACCAGAACGATGCCAAGCAAAATCACTTGCACCCAAAAAATGCTGTTTATTGACGCCTGATGAGATTGTGGCCTGCCTAGTTAGAATCGGTGTCGCCGAAATTTCAAAACTCAACTGACAACAATGACTCAACAAATGATTCCTGCTGACATCGCACAGGGGTGCTATATTCACAACACGGATATAGAGTGCACAGCCCTGCATTGCCTCTGAATTCAGCAAGCCTCTACCAGCACCAGTGATGATTTACTGCCGATTGTCAACTGTCCAGTGATCGTTCACATGCTGGTTCAGTTGCCAGGTGACCGGCGAGTCGTTGGCCTGGACCGCTGAATTTGCTTGCACTGCACGTTCAATGGTAGGCATCGGTGTGGCTGCATCTGGTGTGCCGACGTAGGAGTAACCAACGCAGATTAGTTGACACAATCCACAGACGCGTGTGTATCTTCAATGCGTGGTTCGTGCTGCTTCCGCCTAGACTGTCTTGGATCAGCATCGTTTCCTTCTGCTAGGTGCATTTCCACTTAGGGAACGACCACGATTGCACTTACAATGGCCTGCATATGTGGTCTCGTCAATTTGTATTGGCTTCCGGTGTCCCATTCAGCGCTCCACTCGACGCGACACAGACACTACTTTAGAGCAGACTTCCCAGTCACTCTAGGCTCCAGGTTCGAGTCCCTTTATTTCATCAGTTCAACTATAAATAACTGACGACATAAAGGAACTGAGCGTCGGCAAATCGGCTGCATGCCCGGTGCAATCTGCTGCTCCATAGATATTCCAGTTCCAACATTTTATAGAGCTTCAAACGAGAATGGAACATTCAGTTGAAAGCACAACAATGGATCGAACTGACTGGCAAGCATTTCTCCTGAACCGCCACATCACCAATTGTGTCCACGGGACGTAATGTTCGTGAACATCACCACCCGATAGCTCTTTCATCGATCGATAAATCGTGTATGTCTGAGTGAGAAACTTCGTTGATTTCAGGAAAAAATCGGCTTGACAACAAGCCGCATTCACCGTTTGGAATTCTCAGATTCATGCGAAGATGCTTCATCGCCTGGACGTCGAAAATCTGATTTTGAATCATAAGACAGGCTTCATGAGTACTTGGCATCTCTCAAAGACGCTGTACAATTCCCACTTTAGACCACATCACCACACTCGCTGCATACGTGGAATGAAGAAGAATTCAACGCTTGGAACTCCCACAACTTGGATGCGATTTTCACAATACCCAGCGAAAATTAATCGGCCAGCTCATTTGCTTTGACAGGATGACTCATCTTCAAACACAACGTGACCTTGAGTGCTCGTGGACAGTTAGACTTCGAGTTAAAAATGCGGGTAGTTAGAATCTGTGGTGAGTTTTTTTTAAATAATCAGAAAAACGATTGGAATTCGGTGTTGGTTGACAAGGACGCGCACGAATGAAAGGACCAGTAAATTATCAAGGAGTGATTTTTATCACAGCCATGTCGGATGAAAGGGCGCGCTGTGGATGCAGGCAGGGTGGGGGGAGACGGGCTTCATTAGAGATGCCAGATCCTATCGTCACGTTCACCAGGCCACTGGACAGCCCCACCACGTGCACCTTGAGAGGGTCACGTGTGGACCAGAGTGGGGCAGGTGGGAGAGAGTGTCAGGGGAGGTGGAGGGGAGGAAAGGTAGAGGAACGGATGACCGGCTAAACCGATTCCCACGCTTGATAACCTAGTAGAGACGGTTTCGTTTGGTTGAAATGCAAAACGCAACCAAATGAATAAGCCAAAAATGTCACCAATGGTTTTTAATGAGGGAGTCATTTTCAACAAATGAAATGTTTCCTAGCTTTCCTCGATAATTGGACTTCTTCAAACACGTCTGCGTCCGATGTGGTGCATCTTGCAGACCAATTCAGCTATCCACAACAGATCTTCCACAGTAATCTGTCAATGTCTGAGACCTGCTTCCGCTGACAACTCTTAACCTAAATTGCCAAGTTCTCGTGAAGCCTGTCTAATGATTCAAAATCAGATTTTCGACGTCCAGGCGATGAAGCATCTTCGCATGAATCTGAGAATTCTAAGAGATGAATGCGGCTTGTTGTCAAGCGGAAATGTTCCTCAAATAAACTCAGTTTCTTACTCAGACACACACGCTTTGCGATCGATGAAAGAGCGATCGGATGGTGATGTTCATGAACATTAAGGCTCGTGAATACAGCTTGGTGATCTGGAGGTTCAGGAGAAATGCTTGCCAGTCAGTTCGATCAATGAGAAAGGAGAACGAAATCTTCTTCCACTGATGTCCTTTCAACAGAATACGCCACTCTCGTTTGAAGCTCTATAAAATGTTGGAACTGGAATATCTATGGAGCAGCAGATTGCACCGGGCATGCAGCCGATTTGC